AGGATATCGATGCTTTGCTGTGCGAGGCTGGTATCACCGCGCTGAGGATGCCGAGGTTGCAGGCTCTTGTCCTCTGGAATGGCATCAAGGGGGAAGCCTGCGCGTTCATCTACCGTGCACACAGAGGTCGTACATCCATCACCTGGCGGGGGACATGGGACATGCAGCTCAGCTCTCGCGTGATAGAAGCATGGCAATGCGTGGCCACGGAGCATCATTTGTGCGGATCACTCCAAGTTAGCAAGGAGCAAGTGTGCGGCGTCATAGGATCCCATGGCGATGCCATCCATTGTTTAGGCTTGCCCTGTCCAGTAGTTGCTCCTGTGTCCCTTTGGCAAATACGGAGGGAAGGAACGTAGCGGGCGATATGCGAGTAGGTAGGTACCTACCTTACCTTAGCTTCCCCCCATCATAAGAGGGTCTTCCTTCCCCTCGTAGAGGTAAATTCGGGCTGTTGGTTGGGCGAGCTTGCGAGAACGGATTACAATCAGGTGTCAAAAGTATTTGTGGGTACCATTCTTAGTAAAATATATGGGAAAATGCGACAACCTTATTCAAAGCTCGACTACACTTGCAAATGAAATTTTTCACACAGTTTGAAATAAATTGCCTATATTCTATGTAATCTTCTTACTACTTATATTTTTGTTTGATTTATAGATGTCATTGCTGGTGGAATATTTGAGTAAGGAGAGGGGTGGGTTTTGGTGGAAAAGTAGGGAACCCACAAATACTTTTGGCATATAATTTTTATAGTGGGGGCGGGCACGGGTAAGGAACCTTACCTTAGCTAACCTTCTTCATTGTTATAGCAGTAGGTGATATCCTCAATAGCATTTGAATGCTATTCTTTTTACTAGGCGTCTAGTTTGCCTGGCCGTCCAAACTCCGCAGGCCTCGAGCAATGCACCTCAAAACCTCGCATAAACGCTGCATCGGCTCGGATTTGGACATCATGCGAATCACTGCTAGCACGGCAGCCTCTTTTTCTCCTATGTCTGAGCGCACCCTATACCGACCACTTCGCTAATTGACTGCAAGGATAGACGTCTCTTTCCCGAATCTAACTATAGGAGGCTCTTCTCTTCCTACTTCTACTCTGTACAAGAGTGAAGCGACCCCTGAACTTCCCCGCAAAGTATACACACCACCGGGTCTGGGCCAGAGAGGAAGACCCTGAGACAACTGAGGCGGCAGCTGGGCGGGTGAATAAGGTAGCCGCCCACATACCAACCGTCCACCACACCTAACCCACCATTCCATGCCAATGAGCCGGCGGCAAATAGACCGGCGGCAATACAAATTGGATTTACTGAGCTCGCACCGTGGAGCAAGACAGGTCACCGCTCCTGCCATCGAAGTTTGTGGACTCAAGTGATGTCTTGCGCAACCCTCAAGTCACACGGCTGTTCAACACCCAGATAATCCTGATGACTGTCGTCACCGTTCAACTCTGCTGGCAAGTGCCGCAGACAGCCCCTGGATGCCAGAACTGCCAGCACTTCACGGGCCGCCGACTATTGAAGATCTGTCAAAGCAGATGACTGTGCACCTATCCTTGTCCACCCGATGAAACGATCGATCTGGTCGTACCGAGCTCAATCATGCCTTGGGTGTCCGAGCAATGGTAGCGTCGGCAGTCGTGGTCGAGCCGCCTGAGATCGCAGAGCGGCTGAGCAACCCCAGATCTACGCCTGCCGCTTCTTGGCTTATAGCCTTTTTTTTGTCATCATTCACCGGGCCGCACTTTCTGAAAGCTGGCCGGCTCTAATACGAATCCGGAGAGTTGCTCTAGGATTCAGTGGCGCGGTCGTTGATTCCGAAGCAATGCTGCATAAAGTTGTTTGACCGTAGAATTTGATGGCTCACAGACCTGATGAGAGACTTTTGCATAACAAGACGGGAACGGTAGCATCGACGATGGTGATCCCACATAGGTTTATCTATGACCTGGTCATGGAGGGCTGAGCTCCATCACGCTGCGGGCTGATGGGCATATTCGCATGACGATCGATACCATATGTCGCTGATCATCAACCCGCAATGGACTTGATCCCTTGTTTTGTCTCTTCTCGGAGTCCCTCACGCGGCTCGATGAGGACCTGGTCAACTGTTCGGCAGTCTGCGATAAGTACTCGGGTCCTAGACGAGTCAAGCTGGCTCTGTTCGTGAATCCTTGGGATGAAGGGATAGGTATGCAATGCAGGCCTGTCTCGACTGCATTTGGAGCCTCTCATAAGATATTTGCAGGCAGACCCTGACGATCGCGATGCACTTTCGCTTTGCACGCGTCACTGAACAGGTGCTGCCCTGGTCCTCTGATCAGACTTCCTATCTCTCAAGCAAAATTGCCAGAGTAGATTACCAGGCCGATATGGAGCAAGTGCTCAGCAATGCAAGGCTCAAACCGGGCGCCCGACTTGGCCCCGGAGTCTCGGCCGCTCAAGTGCCAGTTCTGCTCCGTTTGATCTGGCTTCTACGCTCATCTCCCTAAGAGCAATCCAGTCTGCAGGGATGGTTCGAGTAAGGAGTTATTATTTCATAGCGAAGTGATAAGTGACGCTCTGTCTTGTGGAAGCTGCGGTTGCGGCTTGGCTGCCGGTGCTCTGCCATGCGCTCACTTTACATTGCGGCCGCAAAGAACTCGCGCTCTGTATGGCGAGCCATAGACCGGCTACGCCGTGTACACATTAATCCCGAGTATATCGGAGGGGGGATCAGCTGGCCAGGCTGATATTGGTATATTCGCAGCTGAGAAACACATCAAGGAATCGTGATAGAGGCTTTCATTTCTGCCAATCTCGAACCCTCTCTGATGACCTAGGGTGAAGTGCGATATAGGACAACATCCCGGCCCTTCGCACCTAGAAAGCTTTTCTTTTCGCCGTAAGACAGACGCGGACACTGAGGATGAACACGAGTTGGATAGCAGATCTGGGAAGTGCACGAGGGTTGATCTTTCAGACAAAGTTTTGACGGGCCTTAGCACTGACTACTGTCCGACTTGACCTCCCACTGGCTTCGAGTCTCGGAGCTTACGCAGCACCCGAGTGACTTTGCCAAGTATGCCTACTGATCTGTGAGCCGAAGCATCATTGAAGAGATGAACCCTATTTCGAGCAAAGCTGCAGCCGTGCTGCTGGCGAGGTCACGAGAGTGTGGTTGACTGCTGACTCTCGTGCCGGACAACATGGCCTGTGCAATTTCCAGGGGAAAGCTCGTGGAAATGATATCGTCTATTGTGCCTGGATCAATCCGAGTTGAGGTAGTGGTGATGGTTATGCGCATGCTTCAGCTGATCTTCACAGACACTCACCGCTACTGACTTGAGACTTGAGCTTTAACACGTAGCAATCAGCGGCCTTTCCCTTGACGACCGGAATAGACATCAGCACGGCGGAAAGAAACCCGCGTCGCGTGACAAAGTTTTCACTTATACGACCATCTCACTACAGCCCAAGATTGGAGAGCCTCTCACTCGCTCAGATCAATCCTCAAATGACCCGCCGTCTTGTGCCTACGCAACAAACCGGTGTCTGTCTACCACATCACGGGCATTTAGTTGCTTTCAGAGTGTGATCTCGGCCTGGTAGACCGAAACAGGGTCACGATGGCGGATATAGCAGATCCCTTGGGGTCAGACCTTCCCGAGGTATGTGTGTCCATTCCATCGAGCCCCTATCTCCCCAGGTCGCCTCATCACTGTTACACATCGCTGCCACCAATGTTGTTACACAATGATGAACAAACTGACCGGAGGGTTCAGGCAGCTCCATCACCACCCCCTGGGCCGCCATATCTACCCCCGACAGCCCAGATGGGCGGCCAGCCGAACCGGCAGCTAGACATCCCGATATGCGCCGTCTTCCTCGTCCTCTTCATCAGCCTGGCAGCGACACACATGACCGTCTTCCAGATCAACCGGCATCGCGACCACAAGTTCCTCTTCTCCATGCTGCTCTTCGGCTTCTGCATGGCCCGCATCGTCGCCCTCTCGACACGGATAGCCTGGGCCGCCAACCCCACCTCGCTCGCCGTCGCCATCGCGGCCGGCATCCTCACCCAGGCCGGCGTCATCGTCCTCTTCGTCGTGAACCTGCTCTTCTCGCAGCGCGTGCTGCGGGCCTACCACCCGGCCTTCGGCTGGCACCCGGCCGTGAAGTGGGCCTACGTAGGCCTGCTGGCCGTCGTCATCGCCCTGCTCGTCATGGTCATCTCCGCCAGCGTCTCCCTCTTCTTCACCCTCTCCCCGACGGAGCGCGAGCGGGACCGCGTCATCCAGCTCTTCGCCGGCACCTTCCTCGCCGCCGTCGCCTTCCTCCCCATACCCGTCGTCCTCGCCTCCCTGCTGGCGCCCCGGAACACCCGTGTCGAGAAGTTCGGCCAGGGCCGCTTCCGCACCAAGATCGCCCTCCTGACCTCCACCGCCCTGGCCCTGACGGTTGGCGCCGGGTTCCGCATAGGCGCTAGCTTCGCTGCCCCGCCGGCCTCGCGGCCGGCCTGGTTCGACTCCAAGGCGTGCTTCTACGCGTTCAACTTCGGGCTGGAGTTCCTGGTCGTGTTTGCGTACGCGGTCGCGAGGGTGGACAGGCGGTTCTACGTCCCGAACGGCAGTTTTGCGCCGGGCCACTACGCGGGGGGGCAGATGCACAAGCTTACCTTTTCGGACTGTATTAATCGGGAGGCGGATCTGTTTGGGGACGTGGCGCAGGTTGCGCAGACGACGGTCATGGAGACGACGCCGGCGGACGAGGAGGCGGCGAGGCAGTGGACTGAGAAGGCGAGGAGGGAGTTGTATGGTGTTAGTAGTGTTGACAGCCAGTCGGAGGAGTATTTTAGTGCGGAGGAGGGTTATGGATGATGGGGAAAAGGGGAGGAGATAAAGGGGAGGGAGAAGCACGATGCCTCTAGTGTTAGATGGCGAAAGGTCAACACGCCTGGACTCCGCTCTCGTCTAGTCAAACAACGACCCTGACAAAAGGCATGCTTCCCTGCCGATGGCCCGGGTAGCTCAGTTGGCTAGAGCGTGGGACTTTTACGACAGCTATCAGTCGATATCCCAATGTCGAGGGTTCGAGCCCCTCTTCGGGCGGCGCTATGTTTTTGCTTATCTATCTACTCTTGGCAGGATCAAACACCTATCTTGATGTCTTGAGGATATCATAGCTTCATTTTGTTCAATCTGTCTCTATGTTTGAGTGAATACGTCTGACGTTGTTGAGGGTTGAATGACTCGCGATAAGTGACAAGTTATACGCGGTACGTACCTTACTGTGATACCCCCGCGTACGTACTGTGATGAACTCGATATCGAGTCGCTAGGCCCGTGCACGAATCAATTAAGACCCCTGTCTCTGATGCCGCGTCGAAACGCGTCGCGCTTTTCGCGTTTTAATTGAATTCCCGTTCTGTGACCGCCCCTGCAAAGAAAAGATATCCACCACATCCACCACGTCCACCACCCCTCACTTAGACTTTAGATCTCTAGTTAGAACCCTTCCTATCTCTCCTTGTCCTTTTTCAAACCGCTACACTCATCTTCTTGCGCATCTGATCATCTGTCCGTTGCGCAATCACGACTACCGTGACTGGTACACATCTACCCGACAATGGCGGCAACAATGGCAGCAGCCTCCAGCGACGCTGGCTTCATGATGTCGGACGGCCTTTCCAGAACTGCGCACTCGCGACAAAGACCCCCCAGTTCCTCAGCTGGCCGTCCAAGAGCACCGCCTTCAGAGAGCATGGGCGCCCCCAGCGACGACGAGGGCGAAGGCTTCGAAGACGACCAGGTCCCCAACCGCTCACGGCCAACAGACACGGCCAACATCCCCAGAGTCGAAGACAAGATCGGCCTGCTCATCCAGGAGCACTTTGAGAACTTCATCGAAGGCTTTATCGAGGCGCCCACCTCGTCCGGCGCACCCACGTCGAGCGCCATGACAACAGACAAGTACTACGTCGCCCAGATCCACGGCATGCGCACCTACCAACTATCCACCTTCTACGTCGACTACAAGCACCTCGCCTCCTGGAGCAACGGCAACCTCTCCGACGCCATCGTGCGCCAGTACTACCGTTTCCTGCCCTTCCTGACCTCGGCCCTGCACAACATGATCGCCAAGTACGAGCCGCAGTACTTCCGCGAGCACCGCCAGCCCACCGCCTCCTCCAACCAGACCACCTCGGGCGCCAGCGCCGCCGGCTCCGCGTCCCAGTCCGACCTGACCCAAGGCAGCAAGACGGCCAACCAGCAGACCGACAAGCTCTTCTCCATCGCCTTCTACAACCTCCCGCTCGTCTCGCGCGTGCGCTCCCTGCGCGCCAAGAACATCGGCCAGCTCCTCTCCATCAGCGGCACGGTGACGCGCACCTCCGAGGTCCGCCCCGAGCTGAGCCTGGCCACCTTCGTGTGCGAGGCCTGCCGCAACGTCGTGCCCAACGTGGAGCAGACCTTCCGGTACACCGAGCCGACGCAGTGTCCCAACGCGACCTGTCTCAACCGCCAGGCGTGGCAGCTCGACATCCGGCAGTCGACCTTCGTGGACTGGCAGAAGGTGCGCATCCAGGAGAACAGCAGCGAGATACCCACGGGCAGCATGCCGCGGACGATGGACGTCATCCTGCGCGGCGAGATCGTCGACCGCGCCAAGGCCGGCGAGAAGTGCATCTTCACCGGCGCGCTGATCGTCGTGCCCGACGTGAGCCAGCTTGGGCTGCCGGGCATCAGGCCCACGGCCGTGCGCGACGACCGCACCAGCGAGGCGGGCGGGAACGGTGTGACGGGCCTCAAGTCCCTGGGTGTCCGGGACCTGACGTACCGTCTTGCCTTCCTGGCGTGTATGGTGACTCCCGACGTGTCGGCGCTGGGCGCCTCGGGCGAGGCGCAGATCGCCGACATTGTAGGGTCTCTGACGCAGGGCTCCGGCATCGAGACTGCCGAGAGCGTCAAGGAGGCCCAGGACGCGGTGCTGGCTAGCTACACGCAGGCCGAGATCGAGGATCTGAGACAGATGGTGCACAGCGACATGATCTACGGCCGGCTGGTGCAGAGCCTCGCGCCGATGGTGTACGGGCACGAGATCGTCAAGAAGGGAATCCTCCTCCAGCTCATGAGCGGCGTGAGCAAGTCGACGGCCGAGGGCATGCAGCTCCGGGGCGACATCAACATCTGCATCGTCGGCGACCCGTCGACGTCCAAGTCCCAGTTCCTCAAGTACGTCTGCGGCTTCGCGCCGAGGGCGGTGTACACCTCGGGCAAGGCCTCGTCGGCGGCCGGTCTGACGGCCGCGGTGGTCAAGGACGAGGAGACGGGCGAGTTCACCATCGAGGCCGGCGCGCTGATGCTGGCCGACAACGGCATCTGCGCCATCGACGAGTTCGACAAGATGGACATCGCGGACCAGGTGGCCATCCACGAGGCCATGGAGCAGCAGACCATCTCGATCGCCAAGGCGGGCATCCAGGCCACGCTCAACGCGCGGACGTCGATCCTCGCGGCGGCCAACCCGGTGGGTGGGCGGTACAACCGCAAGACCACGCTGCGGGCCAACATCAACATGTCGGCGCCCATCATGTCGCGGTTCGACCTGTTCTTCGTCGTGCTGGACGAGTGCAACGAGCAGGTCGACCGGCACCTGGCGGAGCACATCGTGTCGATCCACCAGCTGCGGGACGACGCCGTGGCGCCCGAGTTCAGCACCGAGCAGCTGCAGCGGTACATACGGTTCGCGCGGACGTTCCGGCCCGAGTTCACGGACGAGGCCAAGGAGGTGCTGGTGGAGCGGTACAAGGAGCTGCGGGCCGACGACGCGCAGGGCGGGGTGGGCAAGAACAGCTACCGGATCACGGTCAGGCAGCTGGAGAGCATGATCCGGCTGAGCGAGGCGATTGCCAAGGTCAACTGTGTGGAGGAGATTATTCCCGATTTTGTCAATGAGGCGTATAACCTGCTGAGACAGAGTATTATCTCTGTCGAGCACGACGATGTCGAGGTTGAGGATGACGAGGAGGAGCGGCCGCCTGAGAGCGGGGAGACGCTCAGGAGGGCGGCCAGCGAGGCTGCCGGACAGCAGCACGAGGAGGAGGACGAGCAGATGGTCGATGGAGGAGAGGAGGAGGGCCACGATGGGAGCCAGAGACAGGCTTCGGCTGCGCCGTCGCAGCGGCACAAGCAGACCATCTCGTACGACAAGTACATCAGCGTCGTCAATATGATTGTCAATCGGGTGGCGGAGGACGAGGCGAGCGGCAGTGGCGAGGGCATCGAGGGCGAGGCGCTGGTGCAGTGGTACCTCGAGCAGAAGGAGGACGAGCTGCGGGGTGAGGAGGACTATAACAATGAGATGGCGCTGGTGAGGAAGGTGATCAAGAAGATGGTCAAGGTGAGCTTTCTTCTTTACTCTTGATGTTGTTGTTTGTTGGTGGTGTCAAGCTGTGTTGCTAACATGTTCGAATAGGACAACATTCTCATGGCCATCCGCGGCCAAGGAATGGCCGATGGCGATGCCGCGGAGGGCAGTTCTGCCGAGGCAGGCAAGATTGTCTATGTGCTGCACCCCAACTGTGCGATTGAGGACGTCTAGTCTCGTTGATCTGATATTGGTCAAGTGGTGGTGGTATATGCCATTATAGACATCAATCATGTGGCGTCAGGAGTTTTTTGGAACAAGACGACGGATGAAGTCAGAGTAAAGTAATGATTTGGGTTTTGGTCTCGAGCAGTACCTGGTGTACTTATACTGCAATATCATGCGCAATTCCTTCCTTGACATACCAGACTCTCTCGCCCCGCGAAAGCCACTCACTCACCTATAAAGCCTGCATCATCCACCACACTCTGCCCTCGCCCCTCAGCTCCAGCCCTCAGGCAGCCCTCCTCTCGCGCCCACTGACCAGGTACGCATGCGCCCTGACCTCCAGCAGCGGATCGTCCGACGACTCAACCCCGTCAACCCTCGGGATGGGATCAAAGATGACCTTCTTGGCCGCCGTCACGGGATCGTCCTCGACCACCTTGTCCAGCCTGACCGTCCCCAGCTCGACCGTCTTCCTCTCCTCGGGCCACTTCTTCGTGTTGTCACTGGTCACGTCTCCCTCCTCCGCCACCTGCACGACAAGCTTGAAACCCACCGGACCGCTCTTGATCGTCTCCTTCAACCCCTCGTACAGGAAATCCGGGCCCTTGGTCTTGGCCTCGTCGTCGGTCAGGGTACTGACGCCCTTGTCAGGGACGACCCTGTACCGCACGTTGGTCCTCTTCCCGTCCTTGCCGACCAGGACGAAGGCGTTGACGGCGAAGTACTTCTCCGTGTCGAGGGCCTTGGGGGTGGGCTTGGGGGCGAAGACGAAGGTCCTCGCGTTCTGGTTGGCGGGCGCGCCGAGGAAGTCGGCTATGGTGCCGTCCTTGACGGCGGTGAAGAAGGCAAGGGCCTCGGCGCCGTCCTTGCCCGGGAAGCCGTCGACGCTGTGGGCTATGATGTCGGTGTGGGCGCGGCGGCCGTCGCGGTCGGGCAGGTGGAAGCGGATGGCCAGGCCGCGGGGATTGCCGTTGGGGTCGCTGTCGGGTAGCACCGGGATGCCGGTCGAGGAGGAGAAGCGGGCCAGGAGCGGGGTGGAGGGGAGGGTGAAGTGCGGTGCGCGGGAGAGGGTGGCGGCCTCCGGGGTCGGGGTGAATGTCCCGGTTAGGAGGATGCCTTTTGCGTGGGCTTTGGACGGGGGGACGTGTCAGAATGACCCCCATGGTCTTTTTGGAAAAGATTCAACAGGGAAGAGTCTTACCCGGACGGAAACCAGGTGGAGGGTGGAAGATGTCCTTGAGGGTGTGGACGAGGTCTTCGCCTGTCTTGGCGACTGTTGGGTCTACTGAGAGAGGCATAGTTGGAGGTGTTCCCTGGCTGGGTTAAGGACTTTTCAGGCAGGTAGGTGTCGATGCGTCAAAGCAATACAGACAGACAACTTTGTCTGATATAGAACTGGCTCTTATTGACAGTCAGATCGTGATGGCTTCAAGTCACAACAAGCAAGCTACCCCTCCAAAAGGAGGGGGCAAGCTTCCAGATTATATAGAGCTCGCATATTCAAAAGAAGACC